TTTTATGTAAACTAAGTAAGATATATCACTGGATTATCTTATATAATATCATACTTATTTAAATGTACAGTTTAGCTCATAGAAATTATTTTTGTATTTCTGATTGCTGAAATAAAGTGAAATAAAAAAAAAAATTAAATTTAGACTTTGCAATTCAGTTTATATAATTCTTATAAACATGAGACAATGTTCTTCATTTTAAATCCGATTGATTAAGCTTTGCTTATTTAGGTACGGGAAGTTCTAGCTATATGGCTTAAGGTGCCATAAAGCTAGAACTAGATGCCATACACTAGTTTAGATTTTTATCACAAAGAAACGGCTGCACTTACCATTACGCAGAACTACAAGTTACTATTGAATCCTATCAAATTTAATTTTTATAATCAGTTGTGTTCGAGGAAAAGCTTAGTAAAGTCAAAATTATTCATCAAAAGTCGAAATCGAAATCAATAGATTTTTTTTTACAATTACATAAACAACTTTAGTTTGAAATTTCTGTTCGGATAATAGTGCCTCCACCGTATTTTAATACCGCACCGCTAATATTCTGATAATTATTTTTACATTATCTGATTATACATATTAATTATGATATTATGTAGGTACGGCATTTCTTGCTTTATTTGTGATGAACATAGCTAATTATAATGTTACATTATTAATTGGTGCTTAACAAATTCCAAAATATTATGGTCACATATTTTAAAATCTACACTTTCTATTCTACAAGAAACTTAATATTGAAAACCTTGTCAATTAGTGTAATATATATGTATATTTATATTATCCGTGTCATTTGTACAAAGAATTTATAAAGTATCATAATCCTATTCCGAGAAGATTAAAACCTGATCTACGTTCAGTTCTGATGATGATTTAATTTAAATATTATCTTGTCATAATATCCACGCGACATTAAATATAGTATTACAGGTAACCGGCACCTACTGGCAGTGTCCCGTGGTCGCGCGCATAGTTCGAATTCCTAATGCCGTTGAATTACATGTAATAATGAAATTCACATAGCCCGAGGGCCCGAGAGCCGAACTCAAAGACATTGCGGCAGCGGCAAAAGTTTTCGAATAGAAATCATTTTATATTTCAATCCGTGTGAACCGAGATCGCAGACTGCATGGCATCCGCGGCCACGCAGATCCGGAATTTTATTTCTCAACTGTGCCAATGACAATCGCACACTTTTCTGAAGAATGTAAACTTCGCTCTGAAACAGCCGAAGTCCAAAGTTGAATTTAAGATTGCCGTTGTTTGTCATGTGTTTGCGCACTTTCTCGAAATCGGATTGTGCTTAATCCGCATTTCGGTTGTTTGTTTTATTTTAATGACTTTTACTAACTACACTTCATATAAAAGCTTTTATTTTATGTTTTCAACTTTACACACCCATTATTACGTTAGTTTTCAGTATAAACGTGTTAACCCTTAATGAACAAATGCCGCCCATAATCGCGACATTATAAATATTCTAAATTTTCGTGATACTTTAGGACACTGTAAATTTTTATTCAATTATAAAATATATATGGCAAAGAAATGTAGTGTTGAATAACCAAGTTCAACTAGAATCCTGGAACTTTCGAAGATGAAAATCCAATAAAGCAAAACTAACCCTCCGTCGGGCTCAGCCCAAATATGTACAAAACCGGGCGCGGTGTATTTGACCGATACAGATTTTAAATATATTCACAGGAGCCTTATAGTTTTATACATTTCTATTTAGTTGGTTTTACAATGCTGAATATGTTTAATATGTGTAAATAAGAACGAAATATGTATTAGATCAATATTATTTTTATAATATAGCAAAATATAAAAATCCGCATATGCGCTCAAAATGACGCACAAATCTTTCAAATTTTCTGAAATGAATGAAACATAAATATGTTTCTGTTGGAATGTTTATACTATAAAGACTATATAAACAATTAGGATAGTGAAAACTTAGTGTTCTTTGTCATTTTGTTTTTGGTACAAAATTGCTACTGAAAAATATGCGAAGTTCAAAGACAATCTAATGTAGACGAATAAATAGAGTAGACATAAAATAACGAGGCTACTGAGATCTGGAGGTCTCGATGACATCATATAATGGAGAAACATATTAAAATGTTGGCTCAGGCTATCTCTGACGGAGGGTTAATAATTGTCTTGCTTTGGAAACGAAGCTCAAAATTTTTTAAAAATTGGTCGACCTGATCATAGTTTTACAAAACTGTGTGTTAAGGGATTTAAAAATGTTAAAATAAGATTATTAGAAAATTTGAATGCCCTAAAGTATGTACCAAGTTGGTTAATCCATGAAGACGTCAATATCAACACGCGATAAACGATAAAATACGAATTCATTTAGACAAATACGAAGGCCTCCTCAAGGATCACCCAAACTCAATGGGGCAGTATTGAAAAAGAAGTTCATTATATATTAAGCTCTTTCAATCTCAAAATCACTGGCATTGGTCAGGAGATTCTGTATTTTTAAAGTCCTATGTTTTATCTTCCTATTCTTAAAGTTTTGCATGTTATCCTATTAGGATTGGCAATTAGGATAAGTGTGAAAATCATTGTATAGTAATAAAATAAAACTTCGCACATAAATCATTACTATGTGAAGGAAATGTAATATATTGTGTGAATTATTATATAAGAAACATTTTCTTTCAATTTCATATCTTTCTATAAAAATTGGTATAAATGCTGCTCTAGAAATTGTACTGATTACACCGTAACTGGTTAGCATCATTTATTCGGCCAGTTGGATGCCGAAGATGTTTCACTTTCCAGAATGCCCTTTTTCAACTTACAGAGTGCATATTTACTGATGCATTTATAATCTATATTTCATATAATTTCGTTTGATTTAAATCTATTTTTTCTATATTTGGTCAATCGCAAAGTAATCTTTTCTCTACAAATGCAATTGTATTATTTGCATTCTATATAATACACATATAAGGTTTCATAGATATTTTATGGAAACAATGCAATTTATGGTATTTTTTATTATATAAGTTTAAGTAGCATTTTCTTTATACTTTGTTTTACTATAATAATAGCGAAAATGCTGCTCTAGAAATGTAACCGAATGCAACTGGTTTGCTGAGTTTGTCTGTATACTTACGTCTGGTACTTGTTAGATGACGAAATTGTTTCTATATTCAGAAGGTCGTTTTTTATCATTTTCAGAGTACATATATATTTAGTTTTACGTGAGCTTTAACAATAATTTAACAACACCAACAATAAATAATTGAAAACAACACAAAAACATTTTTCAAAAATTGATAATGAACATATCAAATGCACATTACTGCAGCTCAATCTTGTTGCCATCGCAAAAGTTATCCACTGCACTATTTCTTTCTATTGCAGCTCTTAGTTAATTGTGATATTTATCTAGATCAGCTGTTTTTACTGTTGAACTCAAACTTCATTAATATTATTCATTCCATTCTATTTTGCGAGTGAATGACATAGGACAAATAGCTCATAGAATTGTCATGTATTCTGATTGCTATTGAAAATTAAATTAAAAAAAAAATTCTGTTTTCTCTACGATTTCTGATATTTGGGCCCTTTGGCTAGCCATATCTGGTTGAAATATTACACCTCAAAAAGTATTGAGACATAATAGCACTGTTACATATATTATATTTTTAAATAGAATCAGAACAAACCATTGGAAATAATAATTTAAAAATACTAATATAAATGCCATCTAACAAAGGTTTAATTTTGATTTTTTTTTAGCAAACATACTAATAATAACTTGTGACGTCGAAGAATGGAAAATTTATCAAATTGCGCCCCCCTCTAACCAGTGTTATTTATATTAACCCAATAACCAGTGTTATTTATATTTATTTTGATTAAATTGTTAATATGAATGAACAAATTGGAATTCAAGCGTATAAGGAAAAGTCCAATAATCCAATAATAGTAACAAGCAAAGTTTATAACCGTTTAAGTAATTGAACAACTTTGTCTTTAATCATTGAATATCTGAATTTCTCGATATTTAATTCAAATGATTTAATCATTAATATTTCCATTATTCTCATTCTTATTATGAATGATTGGAATTTTCTTGGCTGGTTTCGTGCCGTCTACTCGCGTATGTCCATGTTCCGAGCGTTGCGTAACTAAACTAAAAAAACATTTTTAAATTTTTTGAAAATTATTCCATGCTATTTCCATACAAAACTTTGATTGAATTGCGCTCTATCTAAACGTGAATATTAAGAGCTAAAACTTTCGGAGAATTGTTTTTTATCTATTTGGAACCAATTGAGCCCCTGGGAGCAAGGAAATTCGAAAAAGACCTTTTTAAGGACTACCCTAATGTACATACATATTATCTTACAAGATTACATTATCTACATGCATAATACTAAACTGGAGCTAAATGGAATAAAATATTTAAGTACTCATGTACGGATAATTTGTTTCCAATCATGAAATAACTAGGCAATAAATTGGTCGCGGTTGTTAATTCGGATAATCGCAAATTCGTATAACTGAGGGCCGGATAAACGAGTTTCTACTGTAGTTATAACAAAATTCATAAGTAGATAAAACAAAACTTCATTATCGTGTCACATTTTAACAATGTGGCTAAATGACAAGTGCAACTTTGTATGAATTATTACACATCTAAGTGTAAGTGTAAGAAAAATATCAAGAGTAATAAATTTCAATATAGCATTTTAATTTCTTAGTTCCATAATCAAATGGCGTATCTAAATTTTATCATCCCTGCCTGTGAAAAAAAATTCAAAGATTTTATTTTTATGAATGAAGTGAAATTTATTTATTTATATTTTTACCGAGTTCTTACAATTTTTCTTCTAGATTTTTATATTTTTATAGTTTTCTAGATAAGTTATTAATAAATTAAGGTACTGATTCATATATTGGTTTTAATAAATGATTTTACTTAAGCAATTAATTCCACGATTTTATCAATTAATATTTTATTTCAGAAATTTGGCAATTGGAATTGGAATTCAAAACTTCCCGGAAGGCTTAGCTGTCAGTCTTCCTCTTCACTCTGCTGGATTTTCAATGTGGCGCAGTTTTTGGTAATAAAAGATATACAATTATTTATTTTTAATTAATTTATATATATTAATATATTTTAATTTATTGGATTATTATTTTTTACATTATTCTCGAGTATGGAATATATGTTAATTATAAAAATAAGTTTAAAATTGATTCATTTGAAATTAAAATTTATTTAAAAAAAACTTCTATATGTGAGTGCATGACTGAATATTGTCGGCTTATTTATTTGTCTGAAGAATAGTATGAGAAGATTTTTGTGCAGAAACTTGTAATTAAAAATATTCATTAACGAGCTAATTGTCGATTTAGATAAAATTAACATATACATTTTATATTATATGTTATATTTGAATCAATTAACACGTGATGTTGCTTATAAATTTTATAGTGTTAATTTCAACTTTATTTTCTGCTTAAGTAAGGACTAAGTTAAGCAGCTTAACTTAAGCAGTTCATTTCAAAGTAAAACATTTTTTCGATGAACAGTACATTTTGTTCTAAAATGTTATTTTAACTCGTCATAGGAAGTCCAAGAATTTATATATTGACGAGTATACTGGTGCGTGTAAATCATTTACTTTTAGATTGCCATTTTTGTAGAAAAAACGTACATTTAAAATTATACTGATATAATAAAACCAATTTGAATTTTTTTCCAACACTTTATTCAGGTACGGTCAATTATCTGGCATGGTAGAGCCCGTTTTCGGTGTATTGGGAGCCGTAGCAGTAGCCGCCGCGAGGCCAGCGCTGCCCTACGCTTTGGCCTTCGCTGCCGGAGCTATGATCTACGTCGTAGTAGACGATATTATACCTGAGGCTAATACGAGGTAGGCAATAGTAGAAATTGTAGTTAATGTAATTACCTTTTTGTTTTAACGCATTGTATAAAAGATTTAACGTATGTTTTAACGCATTGTAACGTTGTATAAAAGATCAAGGGATGGTTTTGTATATTCAAAGCATGGCTTCACTTTTGTCATTCATGTATACGAGGTGATGTGTTCAAAAATTCAACAGGTCGGTTTAGGTTTTGCGACACAATGTTGTCGTTGTGGTGTTACTATGTGGTTTAAACTAAGGTGACCATACGTCTAGGATTGGCCGGGACAGACCCGATTTTCCGCCTTACGTCCCGGATTTTTCTAAAAGCAATATTTGCCCCGGTTTTAGGTGTTTTGTTCCGGATTGTCCCGGATTTTTAAAAATGTTTTGATTGACAATATTGTTTAAATATATTTCAACTAGAAAATTTGAACCGAAAAAATGTGCATACATATTGTTAGCTCACCCCCTCCCCCTCTCACACACCTTCTAATCCGTCCCGGATTACATGCAAAAAAAAAAATGGTCACCTTATTTAAACTTATATTCCAAATATATGTTCACTGATTCAAGTACATAACATATTTGGTAAATGAAGATAAATAGAATTATAAAGATAAGTAGACGAATCAGGTGCTTTCTTGAATCATAGAAATTTAGTTAAGTATTCAGGATTTACATCTCAACTACATTTTCGTGAATTGTCTCTGTTCGTGATTCATTATAGTAAATCAGAATCGTATCTAAAGTTACTTCTAAGTGATATTCATACAACGAATCTTCAAAATTCCGAAATTTTGGAACATGTAACATACCTAACAATTTTTCCTACTGAAATTTGACTGGTTTCTGAACCAGTTCTGAACCAAAATGTTCTGAACACATTAATCTAACACATAATTAATGTGTATATTGTCGTAGAATGCATCCAATATTATGAAATTATTGCTGAAATTCATTAACACCACCATGTATAATCATTTTACACTATTTTTGAATATCAATTCATATTCATCTCATTTAAAAGTTGCATGAAAATTATATTTTTCATTTATTCATCATATTATTTATTTTGTTGCATAAGAGTTTTGATTCCAAATTCACACGCTCTTCGACATACAAAAATCGACACTATTGTGATATAAATATTCTAGTCAATTCTATTATTTATATCTAGATATTAATTTATATAGGCAATCAAACTTATTATTATATTTCATTTAGATATTCTTATGCTGGTTTGGGGTAATATGTTTATATGAGTTGCCAAAATTAGTTGACACTCCTATTTTTCAAATATTGCTAATTTCTAAACCATTTTACATAATTAATGATTTGATTAAATATAATTGTTCATACGCATATAGAAACTTTCATATTTAATTGCTAGTTTATTCTAGCAACTAAAGATGATTAAATACATTTCTATCGAAATACTCATGTTTGTTAACTATTATTAATTTACAACTTTTAAATCATTGGCATGGAAACTGCATCCAGCACCGGATAGATTTGGCCTAGTGTCCAAATAGTGAAGTCACATAGTTTGCTTTCCACAGTGAAATTTTTACTATTCCAATTAGAATTACATTTTACTCATATTTATCATTGGTTCAAATCGTAGTGTCCAAAAATAATTGCAACGAAATTAAAGCGATTTTAGCTGCATTGTGATTAATACACAACTATTGGCCCAATATAACCAGACGTACTTGATTCAAATTACAATTTTTTCCTACCAAAATAGTTAAAAAATATTAATAAATATATTGTTATTAAAACTATTAAAAAAATAAAATAATAATTAAAATAAAATAAAATTAAAAAAAAAATTGTTATTATCGCAAAAAATTTTATTAGCCTCATTTGTCCTAATATACGTGCGTAGGTACTTGATTCAATTTACATGTTTCCTGATCATATTTGCTTTTCCAAATAGTTAAAAAATATTGATAAAACATATTGCTATTGAAACTATTCAAAAATGTTTGTTATTGTGGTAAAATTTATGTATTGGCCCAATTGGCCCTAATATACGTGCATCTGCTACCTTAATTGGTTTCCACAAGTGGATCAAATGGAAATTGCTCTATTCTTCTGCATTTTTTTATTTGAATTATTTAGGAACTCATATATTCGTTATTTTGGATGTTGTTTTATATCTCAAAAATAGCAAGAGAAATTAATGTATCAACCATGTACCTTAATCGCTTAGTATCAGAATGACTTGGTCATTCAAAAATGGCATATTCCATTAACAGTGCTTTTATTTACTACTGAATTAAGTAGTAGTTTTGGCATTACTTTTTTTTATTGGATTAGTAGAATCGTAGATCATCTCATAGTAGAAGTAGTAGTGTATGTGTAAAATAGTGCACGTTTGCTTATTCGTAACTACATTTCATAACATTTCCTAAACATTTGACATTTAGCGTTTCGTTTCATCATTCGCATTTCATGTTAGCATGTATATCAAGAAGTTGCTGTTTCATTATTGATTTATCGTGTTATGGGAAATTGCAAATAGAAATCGATAACCACTGATAATAAATTATAATTATAGTTTAGTTTAGTATAACTAACAACAAATGAAAGCAAATCAGAAAAGCTGATATTTTATAGATTACATTGATCAATTTATCAAATAGAAGAGACGTGTTGAAAAAGGGGAATTTGCTTACTATGTTAAAATACCATTAAAAATCACAGTTTGCTGTTCTAAACGAGTAGTATTTTTTTTGAAAAAAATAGAAAATTCTTCCATAAATTGAAATATATTACTTCCAATGTATTTTGTAGAGATAATTATTTATTTATCAATACTTAGAAGATGCCTGAATTATCTACTGTAAATCATAAAATGCGCCATCAACTTGAAAATATAGCAATAAAATATTGTTTATTAATAATTAAATTTTATATAACAAGTGTTAGGAATTTCAGTCAGTAAATTTATTGTGCACAATAAAATTAGAATATCCATCATAAAATCTGCAATGATAATTAAAAATTTTACGAGGTCTAACTCATTCCTATATATCTACCTGTGAACCATGGCAGTTACTTATGTACGATTGCACATTGGAATTTTTATAAATTTTAGTGGTAACATTATTCTCGTTTTTAATAGCAATCAGAACTATCGTCCTATGAGCTCTAACCTGATTTTTTTTACTCTGTATTGCAATGGTTGGTCCATTGATAGATATTTGATAGATTTTTATCATTATAAATTATCTTATATTGATAGTGAATTATTTAACTAAGTTCAGCAATGTCTGGAAAGGGCTACGACTTAAAATCCAAAAAAATATCCAATATAACATTTTTAAAATAATTTTGGATTATAACAAAAAATATTTTTGATGATATTATGGATTCAGTAGGCCAAGTTCAGATATAAAATATTTCAAATTATTTTATACAACATATTTTGGATATATAGTTCCAAGTGAAAATGGATATCAATACTGCATCAAGCAAATACTAGTTTGAATTATTGGATTCACAAAAGTGACAACTTGTGTTCCAAATGATATGACGTGAAATAATCATTATAAGCATTTCTTCCCCAGCACATCTCTCGAATTATATTGTAATTAGTTCATAAAAGATGAATCACTTTGAAATCAAGTTTAGAGGAGTTTTGGGGCTAATTCTTGGATAAAATAATTATATTATATTACTGGTGTTGTTTGTTGAATTAGTAGTCACGAACTGTCACAACAGACCAATGTTATGGCAAGGCTATGTTATGAAGAACATTTCCATACTAAATATTGACAAAAGCCATGTAGTTTCTGTGCAGTCAGGCGTTTGTTTCGGGTTGTCAGATAGAAAACCTAACCTAGAAATCGCATACAAGTCAAAAAAACGATCTTAGGTAACAGGGTCTTTCTGACCCATCTTCATAACATACAAGTGACGTTGCAGTTTGTGTGTAAAACGCCTGAATGCACAGCAAATACATGACATTTTAACGGTATTAATTATGATTCGGCAGCATGATGTATCGAAGTTGAAGCGTAACATGGCCTTGCCATAACATTGGTCTCTTATGCGGCAGGATCGGCCTATTAGTGTCCTGTCATCAGTGATAATAAATTATCCAACTTATGATAACATTTTTATTTGATACTTGCATCATTTTGAGGGTAGGTTTTAGAAGTTGGTAAAGTGTAAAAGCTTTGCTTGATCGGGAAAGACATTCTGACTACCAACTCATACGATTACTCAACAAAGAGACCAGTAACATCATTACTTAGTACTTACTATTGGATCACGACATTTTACTCCTTAATGTTTATTACCTTCAGATAAAAACATTGCACTGTCTATAAAATATCAGCTTTCTCAAATTTTGTGGGGGTGCGTTACCTAACTAGCATAAATATTATACTAATTAGTTAATCGGTCCATTTTAAATATATATTAATAACGAATTTTCATATTTTTCGCAGCGGTAACGGTAAGTTAGCCACGTGGGGCGCAGTTTTGGGTTTCGTGGTAATGATGTGTCTTGATGTCGGTTTAGGATAAAACAATGCTACTTCGATCTAGACCTAATTTGTAGTAAATAAATGATTCGAATAAAAGACATTTTTGGGTATGGGTATAAAAGTGTAAAATTTGTGTGAATGAATACATTTGCGAACAATATTTTGATTTCAGCATCAGTTTTCATTCATTATTAAACAATTAAATTTTTAGTATGACAAAATTGTATACATATATCAAAAACCTAGTTAATTTATTCATCTAATACATTTTTTCAAGAATTGTTCGAAAAAATGTTATGTTGTGGATAAATTTCTTCTTAAATGTTGTTCGCAAGTTATTTCAAATTGATTCTAAATCGTGTGTTAAAAAACAATAATTTAACTATAAAATAATAATGTGTTCAAATTTTTCTGATAGACTGAAGATTTGTACAATTTTACTCAATCTTATGTTTGAGTAATGAATGTTGATTATCAATTTGCTGATTTTATACATACCTAAAGATCAGACAATTGAACATTCTAACAAAGTTTTTGTAAGTGATTCAATTTGTCTTATTGTGCTTTTCATTGTCAATTCAAAATTATTATCTATTTATTATGACATTTATTTGGAAATAACATTTTCTAAAAATAAAATTTAATCCAATTATAGCCAAGATTAAATACAACATTTTTTGTATTGCTCTTTTGTGAAGATTTTTATAGCTTCTGGTTGTGGTATCAATTTTGATATATTATGTCTACACAATTATGTTTGTTGTGAATTTTAATAGAAATCGTACAAATTAATTTTATTTCTTAGTACCAAATAATTTAAACCTAACAACCTCAATATTTCTTCATGAATTTATTTTAACATTTTTTAGTTAAATAAGTGCCATTGGTAAGTAACTCGAATTATATGTATACATTTTTAATTTCGTTTTACTTTATTAATAGTTACACCAAATCACAATTTGAAGTTTCAGCAGGCATTAATTATTAATTATTATTATATTAATATTTAGTTGCAGCCAACAATTTTTGTCTTTACTCAATATACAAGTTTTTAATCTTATTTTTGGGATAATTTAACTGATTTATCGTTTAGGCCAGTATAGTCATAGTTTTTGTTGCAATTCTAGTTATTGCCAGGGAAATAATTAATTCGTTTTTGGTACATGTAACCAATAATGAACGAGAATCTTACGTATTCTTACAGATAATTTTTGGGATTACATTTTTTGAAGCTACAACAATCATTTGATTATGATATTTTATCTATTTGTAGCAGTAATAAAATAATTCTTATATAAAATATTGTTCTTAATTTATCCACGTTAATACCGAATTTTATAATGGACAAATCTTTCTATTATTGCCGTTAAATATATACTTTCAATATATTTTTATTCTGTAAATTTTAACTTTATCCGCAAATTTTTGACACAAATTATAGTATAAAAAATGACAAATCGGCATTCCGTAAATTAAGTAGTTAATTAATTGTACACAATTATTATGTAACATTTTAGTTATAAATAAATTAAAAATATTCAAGGAAGGTAAAATATAATTTTACTTAGGGACTAAAAAACTTAGATATTAACATGCACAATTATCTTCAAGCCAAGCGTTATGAACAATTAAAAGATGAACTATTAGTCGTGTTATGTGATCATCATAGATGTATTTTTATAGTGTACAATTATTAGGTAACGATTTTAAATTTTTTTCAAAAAAATGCTATATAATATATTTATATACAATATGGTCTAGTTTAATCTTAACAAACTTACAATTTGATGATATACTTCTTAACTTAATAGACAATAAGCGGTTTACATTGACAAATTGTTGATATATATTTTACTTTTATGTATCAATAAATGATCTCAATTTTGTATATTTTTTAAATTGCGAAGTTCATAAACATTTTGTGACAATTTTTGAGAATCAACAAAATTATCTCTTGGTTATGAAGTCTACTAGGTATATAAATAGAATAAGTTATTTGATACCACGCTGTGTACTTACAGTATTGTTACAAATCTTGTTTGTAAGTAAATAAAGATTTCAATGCATAAAATGAAGTATATGAACAATTTTTGCAGGAAAACGTGTACTAGATTCATATAAGTTTTTCTATTTTTCCTGACAGCAATATATAGACTAACATGGGATATCATATGTGTGAATTTGTTGTCTCTTGGATAGTTGCTGTTTTCCGAGTGATCGAAGCTGTAAAATTGCATTATTTATGCTAGAATATAGGATTTACGCTTTTAGATTTAAATTTACAAAGAAAAAACAGCAACAAATATTACCATAAAACAAATAATGGGACAAAGATGCATTCAATTCAATAAACTTAGATGCAACCCACTGCGCTATAATATTTATAAATAATTTGAAAAATCAATTTAAACGCAGTATTTTACACTGTAATTGACCAACAAATTTACATAAATACATATGCTTTTTTTCAAAAAAAAAGTAAATTTAAAGTAAAGGGTTATAAGAAGTTTTATGTAATATTTGTTACTGTCTGTACTTATGCTACGTAGTTATGAAATTTATTAAAACTCTTCTTCGATTAACTCAGGTTGTTAAGTTATGATTTAACCCTTGTAGCTGTGGACTGTATTAAACATTTATTTGTTGATATGTTATGTATTTGTTGAAGTTCTTATTACAATCATTGATTTGTAAATAAGTTATAATGAAAGAAGATATATTTATTTATTATTTATTATACATGTTGTTCAGGGGACTTTATTTTTAGAAGTGTCCAATTAGTCCTATCAAAACACTCCGCTACCCCCTGTACCAGGGTAGCAACCATCCCGCGTAAAAGCTCAATGCCATGAAGATTGTCATCTTTATGGCCAATATAATAAAACGAAAATACGTCCGAACACTGTTATTATCACGCTTATACATATTGCTATAATTCATGAAGATCTGGTAGATCTATTTAGGAGTTTTACTTTTAACTTTCCTAAGGAGAACTTTATTTTTTGCCAGAAACTCGCTAATTTTATGTTATCTCGATATGTTTGAAGTCAATCTCAATGCTTTAAGACTAAATAGGAAAAAGTATGTGTGTATTTGCATATGAGCCAAAATTTGTTCATTTGGTGAAGTTTAATAAGTAATCGAGTTGAATCTTACGAGAAGATCGGCCGAACCGTCTCTTTAGAATTCGCAGAAAATTGCAAAGAACTTCGTCCACGTTTTTGCCAAGAATTCTGAACCGCTTTTGAACATTCAGAAACTTATTAAGAGAAATATGTTTGGAATGGTGATTATTAGTTTTTGGTAAATATCAGCCAGGTGGTTTCTTCATAATTTTTTTTCAAAACTTTGCATATTGCTAAGGTTTGTTGTCTAAAGTCTAAAAGATCATTGTTGAACGACTTAAGTCTATATTCTAAGTTCTTCTTCATGCCTCTTTAATTAGCACAATAATAGAATGACAGATATTCTAATTTGAATAATGACAGAAAATCTAATTTTTTTTTAAACAAAATTACTGATCATTAGTGAGAACTTTATATTTGATATGAGCATTTTCGTTGTATATATCGTTTTCAGATATTTCAAGGGTAATTGCAATTTTATTATTAAGTAATTGAGAAAATTGAATTTGAACCTATACCTATACCTGGGACAATCTGGGACAAAAGTCCTAAATCCGTTACAATTATTGCTCTTATTATTAGAGAAACGTGGGACACTAGGTTGAAATCCGGGACGCGTGGCCACTTTAATTTTAAGTGTTTTGTGAGATATCAATTAGAAGTCAGATTGTGTAATTTTTAGTAAAAAGCAAAAACTTTATTTACAATTGAAAATTTTATAGTCGCCAGTTTAAAAGTGGTTAAATCTCAATGCTTATTGATTAGGTCAATTGTTCACATATATCTGGAAGTTCACGCAACTTGCCTCAAGGCAAAATTCCTCTTACACTTACTTTGATAACAAACATGGCTCTGAAAATTCATTCACCTCTCATGAATGAATCGAATTCCGTTCGTCGTAGCAACTTTTACGATTCTTCGAGATCGTTTAAACTTAAAGATATCTCGAAGGAATTCGAGCAGTAGCTGTGGAAGATGGTCGGCGCACGCACCGAAAATCATATGGGCGCAAGAATCCAGAATGGTTGGTCCGTAGTTGTTATGAATCGAGCCCAGGGACCACGTAACAAACCAATTAAAATATTTTGATTTCTCCGATAGTTTTATTCGTGATCCGAGCCGTAATCAAAGACGCCGTTCTGGCTAGTGTAACTATAGGAACGGTGCTGACTGCTGATTGCAGGCATTCCGGTGTGATGCGGCGGCGAGCGTGCGTCGACCTCTAGTTGGAAGTTTTAAGCTGTAAGACGCACTCGGCGACAATAGATACTTTGTTTGCAATGAAAACTTCATGATCGCTATCGATAAAACTATGTTCAGATTTAGTTGCTATCCAGAGCATTGTTTTAGAAATTGAGAGGTTTTTGCAAATACAATTCAATATCTTTTTGTTTCTTGTTTTTTTTATTGGAACATCAATCCTAACTCATGAGTCCTACGTTTTGACAACGTTCAACAAGTACTTTGCCAACAAATGAAACACATTGCCACGGAAAAGTGACAAATCATTTTTCAACATAATCTCCTTCAAGCTCGATTCGTTTGGCCCAGCGATGCTCCAACTTTTTCAACCCGCCCAAAACATCTCGATGTCAGCAAAATAGACAGGATATGTACATGTTGACTGATCCTGGTATAAGCCGGTGTGATGATTTAACTTTATTATTACAATTTTCATATTACTCATGAAAAATTCTGGCCAGATGTTATTGTCACTTGAGAACATATTGCGATCTATATTTCCAAGTGAAACCCGATATTGCAACTGCTTGACATCAGGATGTCCCGCGTATCAAACTAGCTTAGGGGGGGTGGTCGACTGAATCACGTGATCGATTTTTAAGGATTTTTGGACTCTTCTTCTGCCTTGATAATACTTGGTGATATTTAAGATTACCTCCCTCTTCCACAAAACCTCACGCGTATTATTAGTACCTGAAAAAATGTAATTTTTTTGAAATATTGTAAA